CATCCCTGCTGGCAGGGCCCTACTGTAGGAACTCCATCCCTTCTGCTCCACTCCTGGTGACAAACTCCAGCACTGTGACTGTCCTGTTCAACACCACCAGCCACCGCTCGGGACGAGGCATCCTCCTGTCCTATGCCACCTCGCAGCACCCAGGTATGGGAGCAGCATCCTCTGGGACACAGAGACACCCCTGGGATGTGTCCTGGCCCATGCAGGGGCATGAAGGGAACTCCTTGCTGATCCCAGGATGAGCTCCCGTTGCCCTGAGCATCCATGTTCTCCATGGGAGGCCCCAGGCCATACAGCCAGCTGGGACCCCTTTGAGAACCTTGAACCCTCAAGTCAGGTGGCACCCTGACTCAGGCAGTGCCAGAGGCACCATAGATTATGGGGCCAATGGCTGCAGGGAGCCATCCCTTCCTTCCTCTCCAGACATGGGAGCATGAAGGGCAGAACCCAAACGAGGAACAGAATTTGGTTGGGAAGGGGAATGGGATGCCCTGGGGCTTAAGTGGGTGTGTGCTGTGGGGCAGGCAGGACCCTCACCCTGGGGTGTCCCTTCCTTGCAGACTTGGTCTCCTGCCTGGTTCGAGGCACCCACTACACCCAGGAGCACATCAGGTGAGTGGGGAATGGTCCCATTTTGGTGGCTCCTGTCGCAGTGGTCCCAATCAGCCCTGGTTTCATCCCTGTCCATCTCCTGAAGTACACCTCTGGTAGGATGGGGAGCAGAGTGGGTATGCAAAGGGAGTTTGGATGGAAGGGAGCCCTCACCTACCCCTTACCATGTTTTTCAGTGTGTACTGCCCTGCAGGCTGCAAGGACATCCATGGGGACATCTGGGGCAACCCGAGCCAGGGCTACCGAGATGTAAGTGTGGGCACCATGGTGCCCCTGCCAGGGATGGTCCCCACAGCACGTGTGGCCACTGCTTGTCACCCCCAGCAACCCAGAGGTGATGAGTGTGGCCTTGGGGTGCCCCACGGGTTGCTTGGGCCAACTCTGGGGGGCTGCCCTTACTCCCCACTCCCTGCAGACATCGGTGCTGTGCAAGGCAGCCGTGCACGCTGGGGTGATTGCAGATGAGCTGGGCGGGCAGGTCACCCTGTCCCGGGAGAAGGGGATCACGCTCTATGAGTCAGCCTTTGCCAACGGGCTCCGCTCCAAAAGGTGGGTGAGGAGTGGCTGGGGCTGCACCCCACATGGAGCCCCACATGGAGCTGCAGGACTCACCTGTGCTGACACTGGGAAACTGCCACCCCTCAGTTTCAGAGACCTCAGGGTTCACTGGGGTGAACCCAGTTCACTTGTTCACCACATCTGATACTCTCCCTGCGTTCTTCCACACAGGGGATCTCTCTCTGAGAAGCGACTCGTATTCCACAAAGGTATTTTTTTCCTATTTCCCCTGAAATTAAGGCATGATTTTAGCTGCCAGACCTGGTGCCACCCCCATGTGCCCGGTTGGAGTTTTTGGGTTCCCAGTCTGATGTCTCCTGTCCCCAGCCTGTGATAATGTCCTGGAGGTAGTCGCCTTCAATGCCTCATCCTGGTGGCACGAGGTGGACGTGCTGGGCCAGGACCGAGCCTGGGTGGCCGAACGGGCAGCACTCAGCACCACTGGCCACTCCTGGGCAGCCGAACCCGGTGCCAAGGCTGCCTGGCTGGAGCTGGATCTGGGCACCCGAAGGAATGTCACAGGTGAGAGTTGGCCATCGGAGGGGGACAACAGCTGCCTGTGTCTCCCCATGCCACCCTGACCACTGTCCTCCCACTGTGCCAGTGTCACTGATCCCCACAAAACTGGCCAGGGCAGTTGCACCCCCATAACTCCCAGGATGCACTGTAGTTCATTGTGCCGTGGTTTTACTGGTACAAACTGGGATGCAGAGTGCATGAGCCCCCCCAGCTGCTCCTGTCCTCCTTTTGTCCCTTTGCCCCCCTCATCTGCAGTCACTTCTGGGATGAACAAATTAATATGCTCTTGTATCTGGTGCCAGTAAGCATCTTTTGTCCGGCCTGAGCCTGCTAAAAGCAGGGGCTTTGTGCACCAGCAGCTGGCAACCACAGTGATGAAAATAGGGACATTGTCTGGCCGGAGGCTGGAGGAGGGAGAAATGCAGGGCTGGCAGCCAGGGCTGGAGGTTATTGGTTCCTAGGGGCAGGCCAGAGCGTCCTACACTGGAATCTGCCACCCAAAACTCCTCCCAGGGTCAGAAAGATCCCCCTCTGCCAGTTGACATGTCCTGCCCTCCTAGTCCTTTCCCAGCTGGGTCTTGAGTATCCCAGAGATGGGGATTATTCCAGCTGGGAGAAGAAGGCAGTGGGGTAGAGGGCTACCCTTCCCCAGCCCCACAACCCCTGACTGACAGCAGGGACCCCCTTCCTGCATTCATAGGCATCATCACAAAGGGCTCCTCTGAGCAGCACAACTACTACGTGACGTCCTACCATGTCTCCTCTAGCCGTGACAGGAAGAATTGGAGACCCTACAGAGGCAGTAGTGGCCAGGAGGACAAGGTGGGCATGGGGAGAACATCACAGGGCTGAGACTCCCTGCCCATGGATATATGGCCATTGGTGTATCTTCACCCTCTCCGGTAGGTGTTTGAAGGAAATGCTGACAGCCAGGGGGAGGTCTCCAATGCCTTTATCCCTCCCATTGTTGCCCGCTACATCCGTGTCACACCACAGAGCTGGCACCAGAGTGTTGCCCTGAAGGTGGCCCTGGTGGGCTGCCAGCTGGCACGGGTCCGTGCACCCCGTCCCAACGGTAAGCCCCTCCACAGGAGCTCAGACTCCCATGTCCAGAACATCCTCCTGGGACCTTCACCTCCCTGTGCACACAGCGGTGGTCCCACAATCACAGTCCCCATTGCTGCTCTGCCCCATAGTGCCCAGTGTCTCCAAGGAGGTACTTGAACCCACCAGCCGCCCAGACAGCTGCACCCCCATCTCTGGCATCGCTCTGGACCCAGAGAAGGCAGGTGGGTGCCATGGGGGGCTGTCCTTGGGGTGCAGCATTGTCTTTTGGTGTTTCAGGTGCCACTGGGGCTTCATCCCCCTGTGGGAACACATTGATTTTCCTCTAGTGACCCCAAGTGGGCTCCTGGCATGCATGGGTGGAAAGAAGTGGGATGGGGACCCAGGAGGCTGACACCACCCTCCCTCCCCAGGCTCCACATTGTTGGCAATGCTGCTCATTGGTGGCTTTGTGCTCCTCTGCTCCTGCCTCCTGCTCCTGGCTTTCCTCTGCTACAAGAAGAGGTTGGTCCTGTCTTGTCCCCTACTTTGCCCTGGGGGACTCAGCATCACCTCCCCAAATTGCAGCAGCTTCATCCAGTTGCTCATCAGATCCCAAGGGGTGCAGCCACTTATGCAACGGGTGTGAGGAGATGGGGGTGGTGGGCACAGGGTAGCTGGGACTTCTTGCCCCATCTTGCCTCTCCCCTTGGCAGGAAGTCAGCAGCAGAGCTGAACTGTGGGATCACAAAAGGTAAAATGGTCCACAACTCCTCCCCAAAATCGGAGATCTGTGTGCCGTGGGGTGCAGCTGGTTTATCTGGTGCTGCTGCCAAGCTCAGAATTGTCCCACCCCCCACGGGCACGTGCACGTCCAGGTGACAGCCTGTGACAACCGAGGGTTTCCTCTCCCTCCCCAGGGTACCCCAAGCTGGAGTCGAGCCAGGTTTGCTCCCTGCAGAGCCTGCCAGCCCCTAGCCTGTCCTCCTTCCCCATGGCCCCCACACCAGGGGACCTCAGCCAGACCCATTTACCAGGTAACAGGGGCATCAGGGTATGAACTGGTCCCTCAGCCCAGAGCTGCGGCCAAATCTTCCCATTTGCACCTCCCTCCCTATTCTGGTCTGACCCCTCCCCTGCATCGTGGTCCTGTGCAACAGGGAGGCCCTGATAAATTAGATGTGCCCATTTAATTATTATTATTTATTATTATAATTTCTTGTAAAATCACCACACATTATTTAGTAGTAGAAGTCCACCTTGATGACAGTTGTTGCCACTGGAAAATTGCTGGGGACAGCAAGGGCTCCTCTCTGTGGTGTGGCAGAGGAATGTGGGGTCTCCATGGGTAGGTGCCCTGCCCTGGGTGGGTTTTGGCAGTTTTCCTATCCCTGAAAGTCCAAACGCGCTCAGTTTTTCAACCCACCTCACCCACCTCTGCCACAGCACCATGACCCTCCTGACACTGCAACCTCCCTGTTTCAGAGTACGCTGAGCCAGACCTGGTGCAGGTGAGCCCCAGCAGTCAGACAGGTCCCTGTACCTTCAAGCCACTCCTGGAAGAAGGCTACACTCTGCCGCTGGTCCTGAGCCACTATGACATCCCAGGAAAGCACCATGAGTACGCGGAGCCGCTGCCACCAGAGCCTGAGTACGCCATGCCGTTTAGTGAGCCGGAGCCCCTTGGGATGCACCGCAGCACCTGCAGCATCGCAGGGCCTGCCGGGTGCTCCCTGGTGCAGTACCAGACACCTGCCCTGCGGCCCGGAGAGCTGCCAGCTGGGGTGGAGCAGACTGGCAGCCCCTGTTCTGAGGGGTCCTGTGCGTGGCCTGGGCGCTGTCCCCTCGCACACGTGTACCATGAAGCCTTATGAGAAGGGGAACACAGCAGCATGATATTGGGTGTGGGGGAAGGCATGTAAAGGACCTTCCCGCGGTAGCACGGGGCTTTGTTAAAATAATCCTATGTAAATATATTACATATAGAAAGACAACTGTGGAATGCAGCGCCCCCTGCCTTTCCCCCTGGCGGAGATTCAAACCCCGCCCCGTTGCAAGAACAAATGCACCCTTAATTCAGCCGCTTTCTGCCTTTCACCGATGCCGGGGTGCCGGAACAAGCGGTTACCGGCAGCCCTCTCCCACAAAAATTGTGCTTCCGAAATCTCTTGATGTCGATTCCGCGGGGGTGGCACGCGGCCCCCCCGTGCCACGCACGGCAGAAGCCCTTTTTAGAGCCACTCCCCCGCCCTACCCACCTTGGGAAAGTGCCGGTGGACTGGCTAGGACAGGGCGAGGAACGCCGAGGCTACCATACACGATGTCTGGTGCTTTTATCCTTCCTCATCCAGATCTTATTTCTCCTGGCCATTTCTGCTGATTTTCCCTCAAAATTGCCGTTTTCCCCGCTTTTTAGCCGGCCGGGGTTATGCAAATCGCGCGGGGCATGCTGGGCATGCTTCTTCCCTGAGGCAGCGCGGAGAGGAGGAGCGCCTTTGGCGAGAGGGCCATGGCACGCACGCGCGCGCAGGCAGACTCGCTTCTGATTGGCGGCGGCCACGGGCGGAAGCGGAAGCGCTGCCGTGTGTCGGCGGGCGGCGGAGGGAGCGCGGCAGTGGCGGCGGGGCTTCGGTGTTCCCGCGTGTCATGGGGAGGTACGGGGAGCTCGAGGGAGCTGCGCGGAGCACCTGGGGATTCCACACCAAATCCGGGAGGGAGCACAAGAGTGGGCGCCGAGTTGGTCCTGGTGGCGGTCGGTGACCTTCGCTTTGCCCCACGAGTCCCAGCGGAGACGTTCTGCACTGGGAGAGGGATTCGTTCCCATCCCGGCGGTCTCCGTGGTGCTGGTGAGCCCTTTAAGCTGGGAATGTTCAGCCTGGAGCAGAGAAGGCTCCAGGGAGCGCTCAGAGCCCCTTTCAGTGCCTAGAGGGCCTCCAGGGGAGCTGGAGAGGGACTGGGGACAAGGCACGGAGGTCCAGGACACAGGGAATGGCTTCCCACTGCCAGAGGGCAGGGATGGATGGGATACTGGGAAGGAGTTCCTCCCCGTGAGGCTGGTGGGGCCCTGGCACAGGTTGCCCAGAGAAGCTGGGCATGATGCTCCTTCATCCTTGGAAGTGCCCAAGGCCAGGTTTGAGGGGCTTGTAGCCAAGTGGGACAGTGGAAAGTGTTCCTGCCCATGGCAGGGGATGAAATGAGATGACCTCAAGGTTTCTTCCCACCCAAACCATACTGAGATTCTATGATTGTATTTAGATACTTGGTTGTGGTTAATGGAAGTGGGATCCCCCTGAGCACTCCAGGGAATGTGCTGTTTGTCATGAGTATGGAATTTAGTTATGGCTCTATTGCTGTGCTGTCGCAGAGCTGAACAAGTTGTGCCGATCGCAGCACCCAAACCTCCTCCTGGCCTGGAGGGAGCTGCTGCTGTGAAGGTCTGGGCTTGCCTGCACATCAGCAGGTACTAGAATGCTCTGTTTCCTGGCAGAAAAAGGCAAATTGGTCATATTTTTCTTCAGAATCCTGCTGGATGCTTGTCCTCTGCAACAGTGACTGTGTGATCTTTCTTGACAAAGAAATCTGTGGCACTGTAGTGAGGACAGCTTGTGAAAATGTTTCCTGTAACCATCTTACACAGAATGGGTGATACAAAAAGTATTGAATGTTTTTGTAGGAATGAGAGTTATGTGGAAGAGGAGGATGCCAGAGTAGGTAATGCTGACTGGTGATGTTCTGAGAGGGGTGTGGGCTATGGCTTCTCCACTCACTGGGCTCACAGCAGTTGCTGTGCTTGTGACAGTGGAAGGTGCTGGGTTTGGATGAATTTCCTGTTACAGAGCAAAACTTCATTGAGCCTGGGACTTAGAGCGAACAGAAACAGAGGAGGTGCCAGTCAGTGTTTACCTCATGACCAACAATCTAAGTAACTTCAGCACCTGGAGGATAACCACACAATCCACTTGTGGTTCACCTCTGGGAGCTCCATAAATCCCACTCTATTTCCTGTGGCTGTCAGTTGCCCAGTGAGGGAAGAACAGGGGCAGGTGTGGGCACACATGTGTTCCTCCCCCTCTGAGCACCAGATTGTGCTCTCAGAACCCAAAATGAACCAATGTTCTCAATCCCACATGGAGGGGTCACTGAAGGCTGGGTTGTAAGTGTGATGCTGCCAAAAGCAAGACCCCCCCTGCTCCGTGGAGACCCCAGGGAGACAGGGTCCTGCCTTCTCTCTGGGACTCTGGATTGTGGGCATAGGTTGTTCCATCCTGCTGCAGCAGAAACAAGCCATGTCCTGCAGTTAAATCTGCTTTGAATGGTCTGTTCTTTGTGGGAAATGGTTTCAGGAAGACTGTGTTGGGGTGGATGTGGGGGTGTTCAGCTCAAGGGATGAATGGGTGGTAGGTCAGTGCTGCTGGAAAACTTAATTTTCTGTACACCAGGGAAGGTTTTCTCTGCTGCTAAGCATCACTTCTCCCCTCATGCTGTGAGCAGAGATTGCTGTCAGACCACTGCACTTTTCCCTGGACAAACACTTGTTCACCCTGCTGAATTCTATTTGCTAGCCTTGGCTTTCCTCTCCCTTTCCAGTTGACTGCTTTGGATCCCCACAACCCCAAGAAGAAGCAGGACCTAGACAAACTTTATGATCTTAAAGCTAAAGCCCAACAGATTATGAACCAGTTTGGCACTTCTACCTTGATCAACCTCTCCAACTTCTCCTCAATTAAGCCAGAACCAGCCAGCACCCCGCCCCAGAGCTCCATGGCAAACAGCACCACTATGGCAAAGATGCCAGGAACACCCTGTGGAGGAGGGCGGCTCAGTCCTGAAAGCAACCAGGTAATTCCATCCCTGACTTTGGGACAACAGAGATGATGTGTAGACAGCACAAGCATCACAGACTTGCCTGTGGCTTCATTTGCCTTCTTTATATCACCAGCAGAAATATAATGTTTACTAAGTTGTCAGTTACTGAGTGAGCAAAACTTCCTCACAGAGTTCTGCTCTCCCAGGTGCTTCCTGGCTGGATGGGGTTTGGATGCGGGAGGTGTAGAGATTTTTCCAGTCTTAGGAAAGCGTATATTGGGGTGTGACGGGGGAAGTTATTTTTAAATGGGGTTTAGATGGGAGAAATATGGGGAGAAATAGGTGATGAAGGTGCAGGTTGCCCAGAGAAGCTGTGGCTGCCCCATCCCTGAGAGTGTCCAAGGCCAGGTTGGATGGGGCTTGGAGCAACCTGAGATAGTGGAAGGTGTCCCTGCCCATGGCAGGGGGTGGGATGACACAGACTTTAAGGTCCCTTCTAACTCAACCTGTCATGCAGCCTTTGATGCACATAAAACAAACTGCTGCCCAGGGAATGCCCCAGCATTGCTTCCCAGTGGCTTTGCTGGCACCTGGACTCTTTGGAAGTGTGCTAGACCCCAGCACAAAACAGCCACATCAGTGAAGGAATGAGGAAGGGCAGGAATTTCCCATCCATGTCTGGTTGACCGGACCAGGCTGACAACTTCTATCCATATCTTTTAAGACTCAGCATCCTGTTCTTCAGGATGTGTGACACAGATGTGTGGTTTCTGCTCCTGCCAAGTCTGACTGCCCTGCAATAACCCAGCACTCCCATAACTCTGTTTTCCATGTGAAGCACTAAAGCTGATAAGTGCTAGAGCCATGGAAATGCTTCCCTCATGCCCTGAGCACAACTTTAATCACTGTTCAAATCAAGTACTGATTGCACTTGCTGTCTGCATCTTAACAGTTGTAGTTTTGCCTTTCCACTCCTTGTGAACAATATTTTAGTTCTGGAAACATTTATCCTAGCAGCTGCACTCCAGTTGTTGACCAGAGCAACCACTGGTGATTGAAAATTAGTCCTTAATGCCTGATATTTCTTATCTCTGCCATTCCTGAGCTGATAGACTGTGTCAAAAGCGTGACTCGGCCCTGGGGGCAGGGGGGAGGAGGTGGTTGTAGCTGCACTCCATGGGCAGCCTCTTTGCTGGAGCAGGGCAGTAAATCCTTCTCTCCTCCCACACGCTCAGGTTTTAACCAAGAAGAAATTGCAGGACCTAGTGCGTGAGGTGGATCCGAACGAGCAGCTGGATGAAGATGTGGAAGAAGTAGGTTCTAACCCATGGAAGGGACTGCAGAAAGAGTTAATTTGGTATTTGTCACAGATCAGTGGCCCTATGTCCAAGGAGAGAGCATTGGTTCGTTTAACACTTGTTTTCCCATGCGGCCTTCAGCCATCCCTGGTTTTGTGCATCCCAGTCCCAAAAAGGCTTTTAAAACAGCAATTGCAGCAAATACCTATGAAATCTACTCCTTTGAGTGAAATTTTGGGCACCACAATATAAGAAAGACCTAGAACTATTACAGGGCACACAAAGGAGGCTGAAGGTGGGGAAGGATCAGGAGGGACAACAAGAGGAGTGGCTATGGGCACTTCATGTGTTCAGCTGGAGCAGAGTAGACTGAGGGCAGAGCTCAGTGGGGGCTGCTTCTCCTGAGAGGTAGCACGGATCTCTGTTCTCTGTGACCAAGGACAGGACCCAGGGAATGGCTGGAGATCAGGGTAAGGTTCTTCTCCCAGAGGGTGATTGGGTGCTGAACAGGCTCCCCAGGCAATGCGTTTGGAGAACACTCTCAGGCACAGGGTGAGGATTGCTGGGGTGTCCTGGCGGGGCCCAGAGTTGGTCTGGATGATCCTGCAAATTCAGGACATTCTGTAATTCTAAATACCATCTTCTGAGAGCTTGTTTTCATCTTCTCACATAATTTCAACTGCTCAGTGCTGACCAGACTGGTTGTTGCCCTTGTTCCACCACAGATGCTGCTACAGATTGCTGATGACTTCATTGAGAGTGTGGTGACAGCTGCCTGCCAGCTTGCGCGGCATCGCAAGTCCAACACCCTGGAAGTGAAAGACGTCCAGTTGCACCTTGGTGAGTGACTTTTATCTGTTTCTTTCCCCTCTAGCCCCAGATCTCAGCTCCTCCTGGAGTCAGGGCACAGCTGCAGTGCTGTGGTGGAAACGTGTGAGTAGATAATGCATCCCTGCCCATGGCAAAGGGCTGGAACTGAATGAGCTTTAATGTCTCTTCCAACTGAAACCATTCTGTGAATTTCAGAGCGCCAGTGGAACATGTGGATCCCAGGCTTTGGTTCTGAAGAAATCAGACCCTACAAAAAAGCCTGCACTACAGAAGCTCACAAACAGGTAAGAAGCCCTCACAAGACCAGGAATCACAAGGAAGGCTGATATGGGGATGGTGGTCATGGCCTCCTGGCACTGTGAATTTGTGGCCGCTTCCAAGTGTTTCAGACTGGAAATGACTTCCAGAGTCTCCTGACCTGTTTGGGCGGGGGGTTGACGTTGCTGTGTCTCCTCAGCTATGTTGCCTTTTCTCAGAGAGAAGCAGCAGCTCTTGGTGTTTGGGAGGGTTAAAACCCTGAGCTGCACACAAGTACTTCTCAGCTTCCCCTGGCAACCCCATCTCTGTGCAAAGGGACTGAAAACACCCTTAATTTTGCTTTAAAACTGCATTGAGCCATTGCTTTTCAAGTCATCGTCAGAGCCTAGAAGGAGCTGCCCTGCAGTGGGTTCAGGGGTGATGCTGCAGCTCCCGCTGGGCAGAGAGAAGGACCTTGAGGTGGGCTTTGATTCCATAGCCCCAGGGTGCCAAGTGGAGCGGCACACACACTCCCTTCTCTGACTTCAGCCTGGGACCCCATTAAGATTCAAACTGACCTGAAAGACCTGTGTGGGAAACAAGTCAGGCAGCGTCCTGGAGCACCTGGGATGCCTTGTTCCTGCTGTGGGTGGTTGTGCAGTCACCTGCTCTGAGCTGCTTCTCATGGAAAACCCTCTCTTGTTACAGAGAATGGCACTGATCCGCAAAACTACCAAGAAATAGCTCCTGAGCAGAGCCAGAGACACCAGGACACCTGTCTCTCCACTGAAGCCTCCATGATGTCACCTGTGGGATACTTTTTTAATGCTTTACAGAAAAGCATCTATTTTTTATTAATGGTGCAGCAATATCTTGACTTGATGAGGAGACCTGCCAAAAACATTCTATGCCCTGTTCTTCGATCCTCCTCAGAGTGCGACATATCTCAAACAGAGACTTTTATTTGTGACTTGAAAGTGGTTTATCGTACAAGTGATTATCCAAGGGACAGAGCATTTGATCGTGTGTGGGACAGTATTAGAAGCATCTGTAGAGGTTTTTGTTTCCTCCTTCCTGCCCGTATCTGGTCCAGTACTTTGTAATGTCAGTGTTTATATAAATACTTGCATTTGTTTTTCATGAATAAAGAAATTATTCTAAGCTGCTGGCATAGGCTTGTGCTCTTTAGGCAGCATTGCACAGGGATGGCAGGGGCCCTGTCACCTCAGCTCCGTGTGTGGTGCTGTTCTGTGAGAGATCTGAGAGCAGAATTATGGAATATCCTGAGCTGGAAAAGATCCCCAAGGATTATTGAGTCCAGCTCCTGGCCTGCCCAGGACACCTCACCAATCCCACCCTATGCCTGAGAGCGTTGTCCAGTGCTCTCTGGAGCTGTGGCAGCCGTGCGTTGCCAAGCACCCTCTGGGGTAAGAACTGTTTCCTAATACACTATTATTTCAATTGCAAGTGCAATTATCAAATTACACAGCTTCAGCTGTTTCCTGGGTCCTGTCCCTGGTCACTGGAAGCAGAGATCGGAGGTGTCCCTTGGGAGGAGCTGCAGACACTGGTGAGTCTCCTGTTTCCTCCAGGGTGAGCAAACCAAGTGCCTTCAGCTGCTCTTCCAGAGGTTTTCCCCTCCAGACCCTTCTAGATCACAAGGATTTGGCCAGTCCCTCACTTGCCACTCAAGGATGGCCAGGTGACTTCCCCCCTGACCTCCAGCTCAGAGTGAGTCCCTTCCCAATTGTAGGGATATTTGGACTGTTGGGAGGGGGATGTTGTGACATGATGTTCCTGAAGTCAAGGTTCCCCAGTCCTGTCTGTGCCTGGACATTAAAAAGGCCACATGCCCCTGCCTGTTCCTGCTGTTCTGCTCAGGGAAGCTCCAGGGGCTGTTATGGGGATGAGGGAGTTGACAGCACTGCAAACGCCCTTCCATGACAGGAAGGCTCCTGCAGCCCTAGGCAGAGCTGGGCTCATCCTCCCTGTCCAGCTTTCTGGAGGCTTCTGGTAGCTGTAGGGGAAACCAGGGTGCGTGAAGTGATTCTAGGACCATCCCAGGCTCATTCCTCATGTCACTGTGGGATGAGGAGCCTGGTGAGCTCCTTTCTGAAGCCTTGTACGGAGGGTTTTTTTGCAAATTACATTGTATGAAGATCAATCGGAAAGGGAAAGCAGGCATTTCCTCAGAATGGTATGTCATTCTTTTTCCTTTGGGCTCAACTAGGCATGTACTCAGCCAGAATGGCAGATACATTATCTGAGTTCCATGATAAATTTGTCACTTTTAATTCTATTTGGGAAGACTTAAAGAATTCAGGGCTTTATGATTAGGATCTCAGTCAGTACAAGAGAGAATAGGAGAAGGGTTGACATTGACTTCTGCAGGCCTGTGAAGTCCCACTGGAGGACTTCACCCTTCCAACACGCTTCCTCTTTCCCAGGAAAACACAGGCAGGCAGAGGGTGACCAGAGGTATTTAATGTGGCCGTGCCACTCCTGCCTGTGCCTGGCTGCTCCATATCCACTTCCCCTCTTGAGCCCAGCGTGTGCCTGCCTTGCCAGTGTCCCCAGCTCTAGCAAGAGCATTTCTTCTGCTTCTTCTCCAGTGCCTGAGCCTTGGGCAGCACTGGCAGCGGGACGCTGCTCTTCACCCCGTCCCATGTCTCAGTGGCCACCAACTGCCCTGTCTGCAGCGCTTGGTAAATGGCCACTGTCAGCATCTGGAAGGCCTGGACCACGTTGGAAGCGTCTTTGGCTGAGGTCTCCACGTACTGGACACCCAGTGAGGCCGCCAACTTCTCCGCCTCTCTCTGGCCCACCCGGCGCTGCCCAGACAGGTCACTCTTGTGCCCCACCAGCAGGAAGACCATACGGAATGGCTGGATTGTGTCAGTCACCTCCCGGTGCCATTGCCGGATGCTCTCAAAGGACGCGCGGTTAGTGAGGTCGAAAAGCAGCATCCCCCCAGCCGAGTTGCGGTAGTAGGAGCGAGTCACGGACCTGGGTGCCAAGAGCAGGGAGGGTGAGTGACCAACCCTGTGCTACCTCAGACAGCATGTTCCCTGCCTGCAGAGTGGTCCTGGCTAGGACCTGCTCCTGCAAGCAGCACCTTGTGTTCAAACCACCATGGATGAGAATCAGCCTTTTGCTGTGTAAGAGTTCCAGGGTTTCTGCTCAACCACCAAAGCTCATCTGTCTCCTGCAGTCACAGCCCCCAAGTGCCCCTGTGTCTGCAGCCATGTCCACAGGGCTCCACCATCCCTGCTGTCACGGTCCTGGAACTCTTCTGTCCCTTCTGCCATGTCCCCAGTACTTTCCCATCTCTGCTGCAACAGTCCTCTCTCATTCCTGCAAACAACCCTCCCATTCCTGCAAACCCAGATTTTCCACTCTCCCATCCCCTGTAGCCACATCTCCCAAGCTTTCTTGTCCCCAGGAGCTGCCTGGCTGGTGGAGACAGCCCCACAGTGAGGTGTGAAGGCTCCTAGCAGCTGAGCTGAGGAAGATGTTTCACCCAGCACCCAGTAGGCTCCCAGCTGTTCCCCAGCCCCTCTGCACCTAGTGTGGCAGGGGGGTTCTTGGGGGAGTACTGTATCCCCAAGCTGGAGCAAGGACTTACAAGGCAGTCCCAAGGGCTCCTTTCCCTTAGCTTTGGCTTTTGGCATGGTGGTTCCTCACACAAAGGGACAAGTGGGAACACAGCCACACCAAGGACCTCCTTGGGCTTGTAATCACACTCCACCCCAAATCTGGAGGGGGACATCCACCTTCACCACCCCATGGACTCACCTGAATCTCTCCTGCCCGGCTGTGTCCCAGAACTGCAGCTTCACTTGCAGCCCTGGCTCCAGCTCCACGAATTGGACGTAGAAATCCACCCCCACTGTCTGGTTGACAGTGTCTAGGAAGACACCCTCGGTGTAGCATTGCAGCAGGGAAGATTTCCCCACTGTTGAGTCCCCCAGCATGATCACCCGGAATTGGTACTGCCACCGTGGCTCCATCTGTGCCTCTGCTGGCTGCCAGGATCTGCCACCCCCGCACCAGGAGCGTGTTCAGGCAGGCAGAGAGCTCCTCCACCCAGGAGGCGTTCCCAGCACCACTGGTGCTGCATGGCCCCTTTGGAGCCCCTTTGTCCCCTTTATTTTGGCTCCATCCAGCTGGAAGAACTCAGGGGTGCCGCTCCCATTTTCCCATGGACAGGACACCCTGAAAAGTGTCCCAGACAAGGGGAGCTGTTGTGCCACCAGCAATGCCCCCCAGAGCAGAGGATCCCCCATGCCGTGGTATGAGTGCCGTGCCTCTGCCTGGGATGCAAAGCTTGGCACAGCCTTTATTTAGTGTGGAAAAGCCTTAGGTTTATTAAAAACACTCCTACAGCAGAGTATTATTTTTTCAGAGCCCCCAAATTAAGTTTTGAAAAAATCCCAAGCCCAGGTGGAAGACTCAACCTCATAATCACCCAAGGGCTGCAGGTGCTGCGTGGAGAGAGAAGCATCCTCACGGGTTGGGGTCCCACATCCCCCTGTCCCCATCAGCACTGGCAGTGCTTCTGGGGCTCTCTCCCTGCTGGGGGCTGGCGGCGACTCTGGCTGGGGATGAGCTTGATGCCATCACATTCCTGGTGTGGGGCAAGGATCCCCAGTACCTGCTGGACACTCCCAGCCAGTGTCTGGAAGGCCAGCTCCATACTGACGTTGCTGCAGGCCGAGGTCTTCACAAAGGCCATGCTCAGGGTGGTGGCGAGGTGTCCGGCTTCCTCTGCTGACACGGCTCCCTCGGCCACCAGGTCACACTTGTGTCCCACCAGGACAAAGACAGGCAGCCGGTCCCCTGCAGCCTCATGATACCTCAGAGACATGCTCAAAAGATGCCCGATTGGTGAGGTCCAAGACTTGCAGCGCCCCCACTGCACTCCGATAGAAGGACCTGGTGATGGATCTGGGTATACCCATCAGGGTTTCAATGGGTACTGGGAAGCTCTCACACTGACAACCCTAGGACAGGGCTTGGGAGATTTTTGGGTGATAGATCAGACCTCGGGAGTGGGAATGGGAGACCTGTCTTGGCTATTTACAGCCCTGTTTTCTGTTCAGCATCCCTCCCCCCAGACTGAGGGGGCTCCAGAGGAGACCTGTGGGGTTTTCAGGGACTCTGTGGTATCATTATCTCCCTAACAGCCCCCAGGTGTAGTGGGGATAGGGCAGCACTGGACAGAAACAGGGCACCACCAGGACGAACCTTGGGGTTCCCAAAAGGTTCCCAGGGATGGGGAGGGCCCGGGAGCCCAGCTCCAGCCACATCACTTTGCTCTTCAGTTCTTCGTGCCCCATTTGAGCCTCTCTTACACTCCCAGGTGCTCCTGGGAGTTGATTGGCCTGATGTAATCAGGAAAGGAACGACCCTGCCCCAACCCACCAGCATACCGCAACCAGCACCCGGCCCTGCTCCCCTGAACAGCTCCAGTGTCACTGCAAGCTCAACACAAGGTGTCACTGGCCCCTAAAGCATCACCATCCCCGAGAGCTATCGCTGCCTGTCTGTGCACACCTGGCCGGGGATTTACAAACACCCCAGGCTGGGAGGATGACTCACTGGGGTGGGGGTGCTGGGGTCCACATACCCACCTCACCTGAACCGCTCCTGGCCAGCCGTATCCGAGCTGCAGCTTGGCCTTGACAGTGGGCGACATCAGGATAGTCCGGCTGTAGAACTCGACACCGATGGTTGGGCCAGGGGTAGCTACCCCACCAGGACCTCCACTTGGCCTGTCAGCGAAGCAGCGCAGCAGTGAGGACTTGCCCACAGCCGCGTCCCCTAGCACGATGATGCGGAACTGGAAGTGTCCCTCAGGGTCAAGATCTTGGTGAGAATCTGTCACATGGCGGAGCTGGCTGGATCCTGACCCACTGCATTCCTGCTGTGCTAGCAGCAACAGGACAGGCCTCCACCCTTGTCCCCACCCCACCTGGGGACAGGGATGGCTCTGGCCCCAAAGTCACCTGGGCCAAACAAACTGTCCCAGGGAGAACTGTCCCAGCTGCCAGCTCAGTCCTCATCCTTCCCAGTAACACTGAGGAAAGTAAGAGGGTTACGTCTACCCGGGTTTACAAACCAAAAAAAAAAAAAAAAGTTTCGAGCTGCTGCTCAAAACTGGTGGTTTATAGTTATAACCACCTAGGAAAATCACTGAATTAAGTGATTATTTAAATTCCCCTGTTTTTAAAACTATTTTTTTCCCATTTGCCTGCTTCCCAACCACCAAACTCCAAAACACACACCCTAGTAACAGCCCAACATTTCAAACTTCAGCAGCAACACAAGCTCACACTAATCATTTCCTTGCACATTCTAGCATTTAGTCTTTGTTGCTGCCAGGATGCTGTTTAGTGTTGCCACACACCAGCTGTCTGTGCTGCCTAGCTTTGGTGACAACAGGGACAGCCAGGCAGTGAATGCACACTCACTGGTGTCCCCCAGAAGACAGGATTCTGGAAGAGCTGGGAGACACTCCACAGGGAAGGGGCTCTCAAGACCTGCAGGTAAGAGACCAGAGGGGTCAGAGGCACCAGCTCAATATTCCAGGACAAAGCACTCTTGGCACCCACGTTACCTCAGGTGCAGGGACTTTGCCACTGTCCAGCCATCCAGAGACAGAAGTAAGAGAGTAGCTCCAACTGAGAGACTGTGGCTCCCCACCACCTATTTTTCTCTATGGTGGGAAAATAGGCAACCGGAATCACCAAGGCTCCAGCTGAAGGTGTTGGAGCACCCCAAGGTTGCAGGAACTGCTCTAGCACCACCATGAAGGGCCAGGTGTTTCTGCACTCCACAGACCTCTGCTGAGTGCTGGGGGGGGGGGAAGTGTCCTGGTTTAGGGCAAATTTGGGAGGAAACCTCCAATGGGGCTCCCCCCGGGAAGCAAACCCACGTGGCCCTTTTCTCCCAACCCCCAACCGGTTCGGGAAGAGATTTCTCTGAGAGAAGTGGAAAAAACCTGTTTATTTCACAGGCACAGCACTACCCAGCACAAGAATGAACGATACCGAATTACAAAACCTCTTGCCATTCAGAAGAGATGACAAACTTCAGAGGGTCTCTCCTGGGGGTGTTCGCTCTGTTATCAGTCCCTCTGGTGCTGGAAAATGCCGCTGCCCAGGCTGGGCTCCCGGTAGTCCACGGGTGCAAGCTCCCAGTGCTCCCCCGAGTCCCCAGTCCAGAGGAGGTTCGATTCGTTTCAGGAAAAGGGAAAGAAAAGAGTCCAGGAAGACCTCTCTGCTCTGGCTAGCTGGAAAGCCAAGGCAATCTGTGTCTTGTTGTCTGTCTGTGCTGTAGTCAAAACTCCCGATGCGGGGGGAGCAAGTACAGTCTCTGATAACAGACTCGGTGCTTCTTCTCCACTCACTTTTACTCTTAGGAGGAATTTTAAGAATACAAAACCTGTGTCTGGGTTAGGTGGACGAATGGGGATACAATTTATCATAATCAACACAGGACAGGGAGTCACACCCCACCGTGCAGCAAGCACAGAAACTCACCTCTGAGCGCAGGTGAGCTCCACTGGAAGGGGATGTCACAGTGTTGTCACAGTACAGCTGGCTTGGGCTGGCCAAGGTAAATCTGACCATAACACAAATCCAATTCAGCTAGCCTAGTTCATGTCTGAACATGGCCCAGGATAAATTATAGGGGACCCTCAGCCAGCCCCATCCAAACTGAGAAGAAAGCACACAAACCGCCAGGAAGCTGGGCAGGGAGAGACGTATCAGCCAAGGCCATCTAGCCCAGGAAACCTTAATTGAGTACTTAAGCGAGTTCTGAATAATAAACAAAGTTGTTTGTCTCATGAGCACCTGGAGCATGAGTCGTGGGTTTCTGTCTCCCCACCCACGACCTGCACCTTACAAGGGGATGCTCAGGCTCCCTGGCTCAGAGCCAACCCAGCCTCACCCCATCCCAATGCAACTCAAAACACAGGAGACAAGGATTTGAAGTAATTGCATTTATTTCAACTTGTATCACACACAGAGAATATTCTACATTGGAAGGAACTCACAGGGATCGTCGAGTCCAGCTTTTAAGTGAATGGCCTGTACAGGGATCAAACCCACCACCTTGGCATAACTGGCTCCCTGCTCTAACCAAGTGTTTGATATGCAGACCCCCTCCTGAGAAAACTCCATGGAACAGACTGTTCTGCCATATGGAGCATCTGATCTGGAGCTTGGGCAACACTTGAAGCCAAACCAATTTCATCTCCCTCCACGGCGGGTGAGTGGAGCCCAGAAATTGCGCGGATCCCACTCGGTGGAGCTCACAGCTTGGGAAGGAGCCAGGATGTGGCTCTGCAGAGCTTCCACTTCTGGAGGAGAGAGCTGGGAAAAAACCAGTCTGACACTGCAGCACCAAGTCCCTCAAGGATGGCTCACCCTCTGCTTAGGCCTGAAAAAAGGGATAAAATATAAACAAGCTGAGTGATAAGCAGTTGGGCTCAGCACTGTGTCAAGATTCCATCCACATTCCAGAATTTCTGTTTTTTCCCTACCCACTCGTGCCTGGCCTCAGCCCCATATCCGCAGGACTCATTCAACAGTCTCCAGACTCGGGAATCATCATAGACCAGGCTGCACTGCCACTGATTTCACCCACACCTTGCACCACAGATCACAACTCTGGTTAATTAAAAGCCTCTGAAACAAGGTTGATAATTCCCACCTGCACAGTCCAGGTGAAAAACTGGCCACTTCTAGCACAGGCAGTCAGCTTGAACTGGACCCTGTCCTTCAGACCCCACTCCAGATCATGAAATACCAGAATGGTTGGGGTTAGAAGGCACCTTAAAAGCTCCACCCTGTTCATGCCAGGGCATGGGCAGGGACACCTTCCACCAGACCAGGATGGCCTAAGCCACATCCAACCTGGCCCTGGACACTTCAGGGATGAGGCAGCCACAGCTTCTCTGGGTAACCAGGGCTTCCTTATCCTCACAGCCAAGAATTTCCTCCCAGTATCTAGTTTAAACTTACTGTTCCCTAAGGGACAACTCACATGCTCCACACAGCAGCATTCCCACAACTCAGGTCCTATAGGAAACAAGCTGAAGCCCTTGGGACAGGGCTAACAAGTTCTCACTCTTTTCCACAGATTAACTGCTGAAAAAACAGAGAGAGAGTTTAGTGCCTGAAGCTGATGGGTCACTGTAAATCCATGGCTCAGATACTCCCAACAAATCCCAACCCTCGAACTCTCACAGCACCTCTGCCCCCTGTGCCCAGCATTTATCCCTTCTCCTGACCAGGACTTTCCTTCCCAACCAGACTTCCCAAAACCGTAAGGCCAACACAGTCTGTCTTCCTAGTGGCCCCTCTCAGCATATGACACGCCTGCAGAGAGCCCAAGACCAGCATGAATTTTACTCTTCCTCCTTTTTCGACCACAAGATCGGTATTCAGATCTGATGGGAAAGGGATTTGGAGGGATGTGCTGTGGAGGTCCAACAAGGGTACTACTTTCTCACCTGGGTTTATCCATCAGATGGGTGAGCCCATGGAACACCCAGGAGCCCTGGAAGATATGGTAACATACCCCCAACATCAGCAGTGGGCTGCAGACTCTTGTAGACACACCTTTGACTCATTCCACCCGAAAACCACATGCAAAGAACAGCCCAATTCCCAAAAATGTATTGGAGGGGTGAGTGACAGTCATGGACAAAAGAGGCCCAGCAGTCAAAGACCTTCCCATTGCTCTGGCATGTTGCTGGAGACCTGTAGCTACTGTGTGGAGCCACAGCTCTTGGATAAACATGCAGGTAAACACGGAGCTTAAACGGTAAAGTCTGTAACAGAGCAGTCAACCGTCTCTGGATCAGGGATGATTCCCAGTTCTGCTTCTAGTGAGCCCCTGAGAGAGGAATTGCCCTTATCTCACCCATACATGATCCAGACGGAACAAGAACTAAGGCAGTTTTTGCAGGGCCCAGCCCCAAGAACAAGCCCTGAGGATGTACAGCCTTGGAACAGCACATGCTGGCACTGTCTGATAGCAGAGGGGCAGGAAATGCTGCTGGTTCTTACTGTGGCCCAGAGAAGCCACAAAACCAACCAAATGCTCAGCACAATGGAGGACTCCAGAACCTGGACCACCCATTTTACCTGACCACAGCTGAGGCCATCACGAGACATCCCATGCCCTGGGATCACCTTCCGTGCCAGGATGCTGCTGGGAAAAAAGAGTCTTGAGGTTTAAGTAAATTACAAGAATAATAAGTTAAAACAAAACTACAGAAAGACGGGATACACTCCTCCCTCCCACCGGTGCATCAATTTAGACCCCAGGGGCACGGATTCGCGGCAGCCGCCTACTTCCAGCACCAGTAACCCCCTAACCCATGGCGGGCCGTGTACTTTCCCGAAATGTTGCCGAGCAGTTACAAAAGTTCCAACTGAGCGGCGACCGTCGAGGAAAGTCCCTTTGCTCTCGGCTCCTTTTTGACTGCATCTACCATAGCACCGACAGACGCAGCTTCGATAGGGCCGGGCGGGTCCGGGGGGCTCTTCCTCCCGCAGCTGCCTGTCCCGGGACAGGGGATTAGTTCAGCCTCGGGGGTCCCCCACTCACCTGAGGCCGGGCCCAGCCTGAAGAGGAGGGCGGGGGTAAGGTCGCGCTGCCCTTCGCAGCCTTCGGAGCGCACCGAAGCGCTGCCGCCGGGAGCGATGCCCACGGGGCGTCGATGCGGGGGGAGAGGCCCAGCGAAGGAGGATGGCAGTGGATGGCCCCTGGTGATAGCCACGCAGCTCACCCCAATCGCCGCCATAGCCGAAAGAGGAGGAAGCGCCTCCGCGGCCATTTTTTATACCGCGGCAGTGTGGGCTCCGATTGGCTGCTGGTGCCGGACCCTCTCGCGGAGGATTCTGGGAGTTGTAGGTCGCACTTCCCACAGCCCTCGCCGTCCTTCCTGCCTTCCCCCTTCCAGCCGCCCGCTCCACCCCATCCCACAGGATAAAGGAGGCCCCCGAACAACCTGCTCTAGTAGCAAGTGTTCTTGCCCATGGCAGCAGGTGGAATGAGATAAGCTTTGAGTCCCCTGCCAACCCCAACTATTTCATGATCCCATGATTCACAACCATTACTAGCACTGGGAGCAGCTGCACACCCCTACCCCATCTAAATGATTCTCCAGTTCAGGCGGGACAAATAGTTTCTCTCTCCTTCCGCATGCAAGGTCCACACCACGGGTTACTCTCTGAAAAACTGAAGCCAGTAGCTATGCTTCCCCTATTCCTTCCTCCCTTTTGGAACGGGGGGAACACTCCACCCTCGGGGAATAGAAGGAAGGGTTCTTGGAAACAGAAGTCTGTTTGCCAACATAGTACCTCTGTAAGGCTCCAGGGTCATGATTTATAATCCGTGGAAAGGATTTAAAATGGGTGCACCTGCCAACGGGCTGGAAAGGAGTGCTGGAACAGCTGCTGGTGCTGATTCTGAAGGCACACCCATCGTGGGAAATCAGCCGGAAAAGCCTGAGGCTGCTTCCTGCCCAAGCCCTGGAGAAAGGGCAAAAAGGATGGTCATGTTTTAGTCTGTTCTGAGCAAGTGAGCAGATGAGAAAATTCCCAGCGTTCAGTAATGGTCTTTTGAGCTGGTAATTTCCTCCAAACATGGTAGATCAGCAATAAAATAAAACCTCAGCCGTTTAAGGCCAAGTCTGGGAATAAGCCTCAAACTCTGTGTGGCCAAACCCTCCCCAAGACAACTCTTGCCAAAGCTGTCAGGTACCAGGTACAAGCAACTACTCCCATTCTCCTCTGTGGATCTCACAGCTGCTCTGCCAAGTCACGAGGCAATCCCTGGAGTCTCCTTGGCACAGCCACTTATACAACATGAGCCTAGAAATCATGTCAAATCTTAGGGCAGGGTAGAACCTGGGAGATTACTGTAGGAAAAAAAAGCCATCAACCTTCCCCAAAAATCCAAACCTTGGCGAACATTGCTTGGAAACAGACTCTTCCAAATGCTGAACTGGAAGAATCAATGAAACTGGGAGCAGCAATGAAAAGCACTGGATGCCCAGCAGACCTCAGCTTGACATGACAAGATGGATGCAGATCCAAGAGGGGCAGAGAAAACCCCAGTGCATGTCCATGGTCAGCGAAGCCCTGATGAAGCCTCCTGGGAATCTTTCACCAGCCTCTTCCACAGCACAAGACAGGGAGCATTTGCTGTAAGAGGCTGCAGTTCCCAGCACCTGACAATGGGAGCAGACAATACACTTGTCTTGTACAGACAAGACAGTACAGGGATCTGAAAACTATCGGTAAGGAAAAGCAGGTGTGCATTACTGATCCAGGTGTTGTTGTGCCTGTGGCTCCCTGGGACACCTCAGGGGGACAAGGCAAGTCCTAGCCATCATCAGCTCTCAATCTCTGTCAACTGTGTCAACCCACCATTGCTTTTTCCCTGGGAATTTTACAGCAGAGCAGTATGATCTTGGTCGCCGCTCAGTTGGAACTTTTGTAACTGCTCGGCAACATTTCGGGAAAGTACACGGCCCGCCATGTTATTATTCCTCACAGGGTCTGTATGTGCCCAGCTCTCCCAGGAATTAGGGGTTAGGATGGGTTGGATT